CTGCCTGAGTGCTCCGCCGCTTTGCTTCCTCTCCCTGGTCTGCTGGAGACCAGGGAGACGGGCCCCGTTCGTAACTGCGGATCCGAACTTAAGTCGGATCCGCGTAACTCAGGGACTGCCTGTATGCTAAAATTATCACATATTCCTCGCTTATCACCTCTCGTCTCTGTTTGTCTTGTGTTGTACTAACCCAACCACTGAAATAGCTTTAGAAATCCTCCAGAATAGTGGGAGGTGATGAGCTGTCATAAATTAAAAGAGACACTGAGAAAAACTGTTCCTCAAAGGAATTTCCCATTTCTAAAAACAAAGAAAATGAAGAACTGGAAATAAATACTGTAATGTCCATACAGGTCAGTGCTCAAAGTTCATGCAGCAGATCTGATAGCCAAGAGATCCAATCCATCAGCAATGGACAGTATAGTAGCTGATGGTGTCAGGCAAGGCAAGGCAGCAAGACAGGATCAAATGAGGATCAAAAAGGATCAAACAGAGTCCGAATAGCAACTAATCGGCTTGGTGCTCATAGAATCACAGAACACTAGAGCTGGAAAGGACCTCGAGAGGTCGAGTCCAGTCCCTGCCCCCACGGCAGGACCCAGAGCATGCAGCTCTTCAAAGAAAAGATTGTGGCTCCCGCACCCACACCTGTGACTGTGTGAAAGAGACAACTGCGGCATCCAGTGCATACTTCACAATGGCCACTCAAAATGGCCGTCATTAAAAGGGCAATGCCTGCTCTGCTCTTAAAAGGGCAGCATCAGGACCTTTTTTTTTTTTCTTTTTCTTTGGGCTCTTGCTCTGTATCCCCCACTATTTTGGCTCTTCGTCTGTAATAGGTTGACCACCCCGGTCTAGACCATGCCTGATAGATGTCTCTCTCATCTGCTCTTAAATATCTCTAGAGATGAAGATTCCACAACCTCCCTAGGCAACTAATTCCAGTGTTTAACCACCCTGCCAGTTAGGAACTTTTTCCTGATGTCCAACCTAAACCTCTCTTGCTGCAATTTAAGCCCATTGCTTCTTGTTCTATCATCAGAGGCCAAGGAGAACAATTTTTCTCCCTCCTTCTTTTGACACCCTTTTAGATACATGAAAACGGCTATCATGTCCTCCCTCAGTCCTCTCCTTTCCAAACTAAACAAGCCCAAGACTTTCACTCTTCCTTCGTAGGTTATGTTCTCTAGACATTTAATCATGCTTGTTACTCTTCTCTGGACCTTCTCCAATTTCTCCACATCTTTCTTGAAATGTGGTGCCCAGAACTGGACACAATACTCCAACTGAGGCCTAATCAGCGCAGAGTGGAGTGGAAGAATGACTTCTTGTGTCTTGCTCACAACACTCCTGTTAATGCATCCCAGAATCATGTTTTCTTTTTTGCATCAGCATCACACCATTGGCTCA